ACACACATTATATTTTCCTTTCGTACATAATTTTTTTCATCAATTAAAATGAGATACAGGATACAGGATATACAGGACACACTCAGGATATACTCCATACAGGATGTGCAAATATTTCAAGATCATGAGTTGAATAACGCCGACTCCGCCAGATTAAATATTAGAGCCTAACACGAAGCGGAGCGGCGACGCACTGGCGCCCACAAACCTAACAGGGATACTTCACGCATTGCGCAACGCGTGAAGTATCCCTGTTAGGTTCGTAGGCGCCAATGCGCGTTTCGCGCTGGCTGCCCGCCTGCCACGGCGCTTGAAGCCACTATTTCACACCAGAGGTATTGCACAGTATCATACGAAATTGAAGGCGCTCTAATATATTAGTAATGGCAGGCATCCATCAAAAGTACGGAGCTTTCCTCGCAAAATAAATCAAGATACTACGGCCCAAAAAGAGAGCAGTATTCCAAAAACTCACCAAGTCCTAGCATCCGTAATTAGTAACGTTTATCATACACTTTATCGCCTGGCTGTTGCTCAACCGCCATATCGGCTATAAAAGGCTATAAGAAATTGTGTAGCCGGCGGCTATAGAAGCTATTGGAAATCTTACAGCCGGCTGTAGGTCTATGGTATTTTGGAACACAGATTCTACTGCCAATTTTTAGCAGGGTTCCTACGGGGGATGGAGTCGGAAGGGTGTGGGGGAGGTGGCAAGCGCAGTGACAGGGAAGGCGAGAGGGTGGCAACTTTAAGAGACGACTGTGGTCATTCTTCGGAGAAACTGACCTACCAATACTTGGAAATTACGAATCTAAAGTGGTCAAAACTTATCTACATTTAAATCATCTGTTAATATTACCGTGTCGAGAGAGTATGCTGTTGGAGCCTTGAGACGTTGCCAAGAAAAACTTGGGAATATTTTTTCTTCTTCAAAAATGTTTCGAGTTTTATGCGCAATTTAATTTAATGATTAAGACTGATACACGAACATAGCCCGATTAATTTAACGAAAGAAAATGCGAGGAGATGGGAAACGGAGGCTAAATACAAACGGAATGCCTGGGAAGTTTCAGGGTTATTTCAGCCCCCTTCCTCTTCTAGCGCCAGGAAACAGAAAACTTTCGAGGAGGGGGTTGAAAACCCCCAAAACATCCCAGGCATTATGTTTGTTTGTAGCCTCCGTCCCTTCTTTTCCCATTTCCAGGCATTTAGTATCGTTTCATGATTAAGTCAATTGGTTATCTATAAAAGAGGCTGTCCCATTTCCCAAATGAAATGGCCGCACGAGATTCAACATCCATATTTCCAGGAATCATAAAGGATCATCGCAGGGACCTAAATCCGGTGTGCTCTCCCGTCTAGCCCTTCAGGAGCCGCGAGGGTGAGGGGTGGGGAGGGGTCACGGTCAAAGGCCTAACGTACCGACCGCCATAACTTTTGAACAGAGCAAACGATAAACTTTAGCTGAGCTCAGCTTTCGCTCAGTAGAGCGAGTCAATGAGAGGAGTTGGACAAAATTTAGAAACATTAAAAGCTCGTATCGATGACAATATGGAACGTAGAGGTTTTGAAAGTGGTTTTATTGATGTTCTCATGCAATTTGCTTTAGATAACACCCCATAAAATTTATCATGAACATTCGCGAAGAAATTGACTTCAACACTTGCAGTTTTAGTTGAAAATTTCATGTGCAACCAGGGCCGGATTAAGGGGGTGGCCTCATGGGCCGCGGCCCATGGCGGCAAATCTACGGGGCGGCCAATTGTGCAATTGTTTTAAATGTACCTAGGTATAAAAAAAAATCGGATTTAGAAAAAAAATTACCAACGAGAAAATGCGACAAAATCTCTTATTCCTGAGAGTGTAGAAAGTTATAATTTTCTTGTCTTTCGGTGATGCAAGAGACAGCACCTATAATTAGTCGAGTTAAGAGAGAAACCAAACACGCAATTTGGCCTGGAACGGCGCGACTTAGAGAGGAATGATGACTAGGATTTGCGATGAAATGGAGAAGCCCTCGGCGCGGCGGTCGGCATGTAACACATATTAGCGCCTGCAAGACTGCATGAATACTTTACGCATTGCGTCAAACACAGTGAGGTCAGCAGCGGTCGACGTGAAACGCGTAGCGCCTAAAAGACTGTTGGAATACTTCACGCATTGCGCCAACAACAGTGCGGTCTGCGCGGCGCGGCGGCGGAAGTTAAAATCGTTAAACCACACTTATGTTCGTTCTTTTATAATTTTTTCGTTCATATCTTATGAATGGAAGGCCTTGTCGACACAGAGATAGATTCACGAAACTTAACTTTCGCACAAAATTCCGTGAACTTTTGCTAGTAGTGTTGACAGGGCTTTCCCAGAAAATGTGTCCAACACGAATAAACGCGTCTTATGCACCCCTCCCCCAGGCACGTTCAATTGATGGTTTTTCTTGATGTTTCAAAACAAATAAGAAGGGGGCGGCAGAATACAGGCGGCCCATGGGCGGCAAGTAGGAAAATCCGGCCCTGTGTGCAACCTCTTTGAAAGGCTCCTTGAAAGGCTAGAGTGCTTTAAACTTTTCATTTATATTTCGAAGACATCTCCCAAGAGATGTATTTGATGAAAAGCTGCTCTACGATTCATACTCAGCATATTGCGATATCAAAATTAAAGCACAGAAGATATTCATATTCTACGCCTGCATGCAACCACTCGTGTCTAGGAGATCTTACTATTAAGGACGAATTGAAAGCGCTCTGCCATATTGGATTCTCGCGGTAGAGCCCGCCGTTGTTGGCGCCGTGCTGCAAATGAAGTGGTAAGTGCCTGGACAGAAAAAACGCCCTCAATCCCGTGCGTATGCAACACGGGCATCCATGGGGCCCGAATAGTTGCATCCAGGCGTCATAGTGAAATTCGTTTAGTGTCCGCCGCATACTAATTGAGGATTTGATTGATTCTCTTACATCTTAAAATTTTAACCCAGTGTTGCCCATTGCACCGATTAAGTAAATCATTATAATTTCATCGCGACTTTGTCAATTTGCCGAGAAATACATTATTTACATGCATTACGACGTTGTCCTCCTAAAATGTGGGCTGCGTCCCCACCTTCTCTGATTGAAGCATAAGGAATGTGGCGAATTTGTTTCATGGTCACTCCAGAAAAATTTCGAGCGCACTTGTACGGCGCCTACAAAACGCAAGTAAATGTTTCTTTCTGAAGTTTATCTTTTCTGAGGAATTTGTATTTTCGAGCAAGCCTCAGACATATTCACTAAAAATTTGAACAGCCAAGCCCGAGGAATCCCTGCCTGAAAAAAAGGATTGGTCAACAATGTGAACCACTCAATGAAGCCGCAAGTGGATTTTATGAGTCTCTCAAAAATATCGGAAGCTGATCCAAGAAATATTTATGACTTTGACGACAACAGAGGTGGGAGCCGAGAGTGCTGGAGCACAAAGCAACAAAGAGAAAACCAGAGTGCAGCCCCTACACGTATACGTAACCTTCCTTATTTCTTTAAAGAATCGGGAAATTTCAAAGGCTCGAATCTGATCAAATTTAGCAAATTCTCAGACGCATCGTCAAACTAAAAAAAAAAAAAAAAAAAAAAAAAAAAAAAAAAAAAAAAAAAAAAAAAAAAAATACGTGAGAATCAGCCAAATAATTACGCAGATCTCACTGGTGCAAAAGATGGCTTCTTTTTTAAAGATATGCTAGGGTTGCGGTAAATTCTTCATCTTCAAATTCCCTGACTTTCCCCCGACTTTTTTTGGTATTTCCGTATCAAAAATTTTCCAATTCCCTGACGAATTTTTCTGACTTTTTCTGACCTTCAAAAAAAATGTTACGTTTTTTTTTTCTTTCACATTTTTTTTTTTTTAAAAAAAGAATGCTGACTTTCGTGTTGATTTGAAAAAAATATGCTAAACTTTCAACAAAATTTCCTTGTTTGAGGATTAAATTATGGAAAAAGGCATTCGGTAGTTGTTTAAAAGAAGACAAGTCTTACAAAAGACCAGAAAAGGTAAATGGTAGGAAGATCAGTGATGTTTTGGTGATCAGTAGATTTGTCAAAAATTTTCTGATTTTCCAGACCACCGGCAACCCTTTATTCAGAAAATGCTGAAGGATCTTGACAGCGTAAGACTGCAGGAAACAGTTCAAACTTAATTTTCGAACTTCCTGCAAAGATAGGGACAGGTTATGGAAAAACAGGGGGACTGCTTCTCCAAGAAATTGCCAGATATAGGTGGAATTATGGATAAAAAAAGTTAGAACTTTCATTAACTCCACAATTCACTGTTGGTGACATGGATTTATGCAAGTTTGGAGGAGCCATGCCATACACGGGGGTAACAGTCACAGCTGACCATGGACCTTTCAAACCTGCATTTGATGTCATACCGAACTGTCGATACTAGGTACATGACATTTTGAATTCTTCTTTGTGAAGCTGTTTCTCTGCAGAAGTTCTGATCTCATACTTTGCAACAATGTGTCCATCAAAACTTATACTAAAAGAGAAACCAAGTAAGCATCTTTCAAATGTTTCATATACCTAATTCTATGGCATTGCTAAAGCAAAAATCCTAATACCCAAAATGTAGTCATCAAGATATTTGGATGTCATGAGGAAGAAAGAATTTAACTCACTCCTCAGCAAAAAAGTTGAGCACCCCACAGCAGGCCAATCTAATTTTGAGACCTTTGTACACATTTCCTAGGATATTAAAAAATATGTGTCAGCTAAAAGTCATGTGTTTCATCGAAAGTAACTCCGTCAAATATTTGTATAGTTATGAGGTCCCAAAATTCAAGGGGCACTGCTATGGCACATGCACCTTCTTGCCCGGATTGAGGATATTCATTCACAATTATTTCCAATTGCAGCTGCTCATTCTCGAAGCCAAAGTAGGAGTTTAATGTAAGGTTACAGTTTACTTAAATAGATATTGAAAACTCATGTTGATCACGATAAGAGATGAAAGAAGACAGGTGCTTTACTTACAAGTGTTGGAGGAAACGGATGTGCTATTCGTATTTTCACGGAAAATTTCAGATTGAACTTCAAGTTTATTGGACATCTTTGCCGAGGAAGCACGCAAAATAGAACTGAAGAATGGATTATAATTCCGAGATTCTTTTTATAAAAATATCACCAGAACCTTCAGAGAATTAGGTGAAGGCTATGAACTTGACACACTGTCTGGGATCAACTTCACACGAAATACAACACATTTTCGGCGGTAACTGGATAAACTTATGCATACGGTAAAATTATTAGTGCAAAGGCGATGTGAAAAAATGACAATAAAAGATCAATTGCGTTCAAACAATACCATAATTATTAAAAAGAACCATCACGAGTCAATTTTTCCCTTTATCACTTTTTCAAATTTCGGATTTTGAGGCTATGTTTACAACTTTACAGGTTAGTACTAGCCAATAAACCGAAAATTCACTGATATCGCAGTGCTGTCAAAAAGCCGGCGAATTTTTATTCCTAGGTTGGCAGTACAATGTATTTAGACAAAGATGGATGAAATTTGAACCAATCACAGCCCAACACGAGATAAATAATGTATTTTTATGTTTACGTCACCAAAATATATATAACATCTCACAGCGGAAAGTTATCCCAAAAGAACGTGTATTGTATTTAGTACAGTTAGTTTAGGCTTGTCGGTGTTCTGCTCCCCGGTAACAAGTTAAAAATCATCTCACAGGTTGTGGTGCTAAGTTTTCAATCATGTTGAACTTTAAAATGTATCTTTTAGCCCTTGTATTTGCGGTCGCATTTGCAGAAGAGGAGATCAAAACTGAGGAAAATGTGTTAGTCTTGAACAAAGACAATTTCCAATCAGCACTAGCCAATAATGAATTTATTCTGGTAGAATTTTGTAAGTATCCTCCCTTTTCCATCATAATTGCATATTTCAGCTTACCTGTGATTATTTCCATTAGCTCTATTGGTTTTCTTAACCTCAACCTCATCTTCCGTCCGCTGGCTGTCTTTGCTTCGTCGGCGAATTTTCTTGGAGGGGCCCTAAATGCGCTGGATTTTTCTTATACTCATAGTTCTTATCACCCTCTTAAACTCAGCTGTTTCCATTTGTATTGTAGTGAACTCTCATTCACCACTTCTATTCATCGACGTTTGTACTTACTGCGTTTAGCTAAGTCTACATGAGGCAAAGATCCAGGCATGTCCTACAATCTGTACCTAGATTTTAGCATCTTATTATTATATGCATACTCTCACATGCTCATCCATAATCACTGATCTTGCCCTGAAAAGTGTGGTCAGTCACATTCGCCATGTTAGAGGAACATAAACATCCAGTCTAGCAGGTCAGGAAAGAAGTAAAGCAGATCGAAATTCCTTGTTCAGTAGGTTATTTCCTCTTAACTTTCAATTTCTAAGTTGTCCATCAAAGCGTGGTAATAGATATATTATCTTAATTATTCTGTACCTATCAGGATGGATAATTTTCTGTCTCTTGTGGAATGTACAATAAGTTGAAATGATGTCTGACTTCGACGAGGATAGAATCTTATCAAGGACCTGTTTGAAGTTTATCTTGTAGTGTAGAATGATTATTTCAACACATTTAAGTGGACAAATTTAGTGAGAATCAGCGTGACTAAATTGTTGCCCTTTTCCTTTAGTAGATACACAAGCAACATTCTAATTTTTAATTTTGTGAGCATATTCTTTACACTCCAGAGAAAATATTTGGAAAGTTTCAATGTGTTACATTTGCCAATTTTCTGCTAAAGAATTACCACAAAAGAATTAACTAGACAATGCAACATGTAGTAAGGCTGATTCTGACCAAATCCACTCATATGTACTATGTAGCTAACTTTTTCATTGACCTGCCAGTCATAGCATACCAAAGAAAGTATGAGAGAATTCAGGCAAAATAACTACTGAAATCTTGAGTGAAGAAGCAAAGAAATTAGTCCCGCATAATCCCTTACAGATTTGATACTTCTTTTTTTATACCTAACAACCTAATTTTTCGTGGAATCTGAAGTTCTTATGTCTACCTTCTCAAATTTGAACCCATAATTTTCCAAGATACTTGCAGAAGGATGTAGCCAGGGGTGCAGGAAGTTCTTCAGAACAAAATTCAATCGCGATTGAATGCTCGAAATTGGCTCTCCTAAAGAATTTCCTCACTGCACAAGAATGCACCAAGTATATGTTCAGCAAAAATGTTAACAGATCAGGTAGCTCTGTTCTTATTTTCAATTTCTGCACACAAAAAAAAAAAAAAAAAAAAAAAAAAAAAAAAAATCCATCGAAAAATGTTCTAAATAGCTCTTAGATTGCCCACCCCATATCACATGCAAGTTTGAGTTTGCTTGTACTGGAGAACTTTCTGCATCCCTAGATGTAGCTTACACTCCTGAGATTACAAGATTTAATTTATCCAATTATGTAGAAAAAAACCCCATGGAGCAATATTTTACAATGTTTGTAAATGAATTTCTTGTGTATAATAGTTTAGCCTGAAGAAAAAGGCTCTTGCATTATGGTATTTTAGTCTTGGCTGATTGGTTAAACAATTAAGTTTAACTCAAGGGTTTTTTTTATACATCGTTTGTGATCCATCTTTGTGACTAAGACCTCCCTTCTCAGTGGCTGTGCTGTGCTGTGCTCTGTTCCTAAAAAAAGAAGTAATAACAAATACATCAAAAAGTTGTATGCTTTGATTTAAGAAATCTTCAGAGGTCAATGAAGTATACTATTTTTTACATAAGATATGCATGATACATGATAGATGCTCTGCAGCCCAGGACAAGATTTATAATGAAAAACAATTTAAAAATGGGGTAACAAGGCTAAAAGTTCACACACAAGGCCACAACGTTTCAGCTGAATTTTCAGCCAAAACGTTTTGGTCTTGTGTGTGAACTTCTAGCCTTGTTACCCCCTTTTTAAATTGTTTTTTATTGTATTTTTACATGTTAATCTTTGAGGAGCATAAGTATTTTTGTTGCTTACTGGAATCAACTCATCATCAATGTTTGTTTCTTATATTTTGTTCCTCTTCTTATTTCCCTCAACTTTTCAAAAAACAACATGCATGAGGGTGTACTCTTGTCTGTGTCATACTCTAATAGTACCTGAAAATTCTATCGAGTTTTATCCAGGAGAATGGAGAAGGGGGATGGCTCATTGCTCTTAAAAGATCTCTGAGCCATCTCAGTGGTCAGTTATTTTAAGGAATTCATGATAACTGATTGTAAAGAAGATAATCTCAAATATATTTTCAAGGAAAACTAATGGGGGGGGGGGGGAAGCAGGTACTTGTAAAACATTAAAACCATATTCGGCATCAAAATCCAAAGCTTTATTTGTGTTTTTTGTAGTAATAGTGTTTCACCAAGGAGGTTTCTTAGTTTTAATTGCCAATCATCTGGTTAATGGATGATCCTACCATATGAACATCAATTCACCCATCACTTTCTCAGTTCTCATAAAATCATGGATCCAACATTCTTTTTAAATACAAGATACTCAAAATTTCACTCAAATTCTAATGATCTAATTAAATGTGAGCATTAGTGGTTTCTTACTCTACCCCAGTAAATTCATTTTTGTATCAAATGTATGCCTGCAATTTCTGTTTTTTGCAAGTGTGTATGATCGTGCGCCTCTAGACAGTCACATGTATGTGCAGATAGGTGACAGCACCTTGTCAGGTAATCAGTTGAGTAATCACAGTGCTGGCCTGAGTATCTCATCTGTCACTGCTAATTACCCATTAAGTAATCCCACAGTCTCTTTTATTGCAATTACACATCGACTGTTCTACATGCAGATTTGCACCCATTTGAATCTTTGCACAGTTCAGCCCTGAAAATGATCGGGCCCAGAATTTTTTTTAAAATTTTATTTGAACACTCATTTTAATTATGGGGTATGTCCTAAGCTCAACCGCTAAAACGAATTTCACACCCTGGAACCTTTTGAAGCATGAAATTTTGGTGCAAGAAACTTTTTCTAGTGTTGTTGCCAGTTTTTTCCATTCAAATCACTATAGGAAGATTTCGTTCAAATTTCAGAAAAATCATAAGGAGATGTTGTCACTGTATCCTTGTCAGTAGGTACAGTAGAATTAGTGTGCTACAGGTTGTTTGAAAGTCAGGAGCTACAAAAAAATTAAAAGTTACAATGCGAATTGTAATCTGCACTCATTTTATTCCTGTTCATTCTAAAACTGTAAGACTGATTGAAATCAAAGAGGCCCTTCTTTTCTGGAAATACCTTTAATTTTACTGAATAGTGTGTTAAGATGCCAAGATGGTGGTCCGAAGTACAATGTGAAATTACTTTTTGTCATTAAAACTTCACTTTAGTATTTAATCAACTATTAATATAAGAAGAATTTCTCAATATTTTTTTCTCCTAATCAATGTTTTTGTTGCAGATGCACCATGGTGTGGCCATTGTAAAGAACTCGCACCCCAGTATGCCAAGGCTGCAACTGCACTCGCTGATGAAAAATCCAACATCAAGCTTGCGAAAGTTGATGCAACGATTGAGACTGAACTGGCCGAGCAGCATGATGTGAAAGGTTTCCCAACGCTTAAGTTCTTCATCAAAGGAAATGCTGTGGATTACTCAGGTTTGCATTTTCTTTTACGAACCATTTGTCAAACCAGTGCAGTGCGACAATTCAGTACATATGAATTTATAAGAATGAAAACACACCAACTCAGAAACTTAAAAATACTTTTTCATTAAAAATGCTCAATTTTTATAAAAGCCATTTAAGATAGCACATCTATATCAAATTGAGCCTTCAAAGTGTCCTAAAGTACTAGTGTTTTGGTACTACTTAAAAAGCTTTTTCTTCGATCGACTTTTTCACCTATTGGGCAGGTTTTTGTGTGGCTTGAACATTTTCATTTTTCTAAGGAGGTTTGTTTTCACTCTCACTGATTCATACTCATAGATGTACCAATGATGAACCCATGAAACTGAGAATATTCATTACAGTGTTTCAAAACACACACGAGAGCTGAAGCTCTTATATTTTTGAAAAAGGAAACTTTTGCTTGTTTCATACGTTATGAAGTTTTTTGGGAATAATCTTCATCTTTGAAAAATAAGTAATGAATAATTCTTTGTAAATATTAAGGAATTCTTGCATACAATAAAGTAGAATGTGACTAGTCACTTTCAACATTCAAATTCCTCAGCTTTTGCTAAATTCTCAGAAGTTTTTGTTAAATAAAGTAAAATATAATGGGTTACATGTGACTTTGCAAATGGAGATAAAAGGATTCAAGTTAAACCATTGCTCGGCATTTTCACTTTTTCTCAGTATGAAGAAAGTGCAATTTTATTAGCACTTTAGCTGAACAGGTAAAATAACAAAAGTTAGGTATGAATTTATAATTTCTTTGGATTAAAAGTAAACATGAATTATTTGGATAGATTTTGTATGAATCAGCGTGACTACATTAGACGTTGCCTAATTCTCGCTGAATTTTTATTTCTTAAATACCTAGAAAACTAAGCAACACTGAAATTTGAAATTTTATGAGTTTTTTTTTTTTTCATATTCAAGGGTAAATTCACAGAAAGTTTAAGAGCATTTAGTAATTCAGGTCTCTGTAACTTGAGAACATAGTAACCTGTGAGAGAAAACTAGGCAACATGAAATGCAGTCAGGCAGTTTTTTATTAAATCCGTCCATTTTATCAACCAATCTACAGAACTTGCCGTATCTTCTTTGAATATTATTCATGATCAATAAATCTGTTCCCTCACATTTTAGGAGGCCGACAAGCCGATCAGATCATCAGCTGGCTCAAGAAGAAGACTGGACCTCCTGCCACCGAACTCAAATCAGTCTCTGACGCCAAAGAATTTATTGATGCTCATGATGTGTCTATCGTTGGATTCTTCAAGGTAAGGCTGATCTTTTTCAATTCATGATCTGTTCTTTGCAGTTTCTCTCAATGAATGGTACAGATGGCCAGCTTGTTTAAATTTTTTTCATTTTTCACTGTCGATGCTATTTACCAAGAAGTCTTTTGGGAACTTAAATATGATCTGATGGTTTGCTGACTCAGGGTTGCTACTGTCAGGAATTTGTCAGGGAATTGAAAGAAGTCAGGGGAAACCTGAAAATTTCGGGGAAAATGACAAAAGTGTCAGGGAAAAATTGTTAATTCACCCTTATTTTCTTTCTAGAATTGCTATAATGTTCCAATTAACAAATTTGCCTGAAAGCTATTTCAAATTATGTATTTTTAACCATCTGGCGTATTATCTTCAATTGTCAAGGAATTTAATCAAAATGTGTCAGGGAAATGTCATTCATTTGCTATATTCTGTGGCAACCCTGCTACTTTAAAAAATTGTACTCAAAATCTTTCCTTTTTCAGTTTTCAGTATTCAGAGATTTTAGAATATGCAGAAGTTGAATGCAAGATACTCAGCATTCACAAACTTTATTTGCTAAATCGTGAAAACTACTCGCAAAATTTTCCTGCAGAATCTTGACTGAAAAATTCTCACAATCAAAACCTTTATGTGACCTGCATTTCTACATATTCTACATGATAAATGAATCTGCAGGTAACTCCATAATATCTTTCGAAATCTGAAGGATAGAAGGGTTCAAATACCGAATGATTGGTCTTGTTTTTATTCCACTTGGTTGCTCTCACAATTAATTCTTAATTTGTTCCTTGTTTTTTTTTCCTCCTCCAGGATGCTGAAAGTGAAAATGCGAAAGTATTCTTGTCTGCTGCCAGTCTCATCGACAGTCATCCCTTTGCCATCACCGCTGACGACAGCGTTTTCTCTGAACACAAGGTCGAATCAGACAAAATTGTCTTGTTCAAGAAGGTAGGTTATAATATTTTGATTCTTTTTCTTTTCGAAGTGAGACCCTCATGGTCTGGTGTGGGTATGCTGCCTATAAAAACAGTAATATTCTATTTACCAAAGGAAATGACAAACAAAATAATTTTTCTTCCTGCCCTAAGCCTTTTCCTCCTTTTTAATATTTGTACCTAATTGTGATTATTTTCTTACCTACCCTGATCTCCTGCATTATGTAAATCGTTTTCCCTACCTTAATACAAAATTTTAAGTGGTGAGAAAGTACTAAACAGAAATGAAATCGGATTTCCTAAATAACTTGTCTGGCCCTCGGATGAGTTTTTAATCCTTAACTTAAAATTGGTGGCTACTACCAATCAGTGGTATGCACTTGCATATTTTGGTCATTTTAAATCTGGTTAAGTACATTTGTTTTAAGTTTTGTAAGATAAGATGTAATCAGAGATATTCTTCCGCTGTTTGTGTAACTCGAAAAATTTGATATCAATCTTTGGGGGTTAAAAGCCACCAAGTTTGACAGCGATAAAAAATCTGCACTGGCAAAAAAAAAAACAAAAAAAATAAAAAAAAAAAAACAAAAAACTTGTGTAGTAATCTGGGAAGTAGAAACCTAACTTAGTTCTAACCTGTGCCAAGATCCTTTTATGTTCAAGTTATTCTGTAAGTTTGCATTTTATCTCTTTGCTTTTGTTGCAGTAAAGAAGTTTTATTGAACTCACCATTTGAAATTTGTTCTGAACTTCTCTCCATTCCATTTTCCTGGTCATTTGATCCTTTTTTGTCTCTGCACTCTGTAAATTCTCTTTTCATCTTGAAAATTTCCTTTCATAAATTTTGCAACATTTTGAAATCCTTCTCGTTTCTACTCCATGTTGGAATGACAATGCAAATTTTAAGCTAAGTTTAAATTGAAAGAACTATATTTTTTATTTTATCTTCGTGTGTGTTAAGCTATAATACACTTACTGATAAGACTGGCTTTCTGTGTTTCTGGGGTCATCCTTAGTTTCAGAAGTCACTTCGAAATCTCATCTTATGCTCCCCTTTTTTGGATACTACTATCAGTCCCGCTCAAATGTCAGTATTTCTCCCTAATTCTTACTCAGATATTTTCTTATCCACTATTATAACTAACATTTTCATACTGTTTTCTTGTTGTCATGTTAATTTCTGTGAAAAGTCAAAGAACCCTCCCATACATTAGTCTTAAGAGGGCTGTCCATGTATCATGTTGGGTACGCAAAGGGGAGGAGTCATTCTTTTACTAGTGTCGATAAAGGGGGAACAGTAAATCAAGCCAACCATGCTCCTGTCATTAATTTTTAAGGGATGCTTGGACTGATCTTTGAACATCCTCTCAGAATAAGGGTTCAAAATACGTATGAGAGAAAATAATAATAAAATTGCCAACTATTTTTGTATTCGTAACTGACACCCAATGAAAAAATAAGCATTTGATTACCTAGTTGTAATTTTTTTTGTACTCTCCCTTGAATTCAGATGAGTTTTCATTAAAATATATTTTTATCTTAAATTTTCAACTCATTGTTTTTTGGTTCCAGTTTGACGAAGGCAGGAATGATTTCGAGGAAGAATACTCCGTTGAAACCATTAAGAAATTCATTGCCACCCAAGGTTTGCCATCTGTCGTTGAATTCAACCATGAAACTGCCCAGAAAATATTCGGAGGTGACATCAAGAGCCACTTGCTCCTCTTCTTGTCAAAGAAAGCTGGCCACTACGATACTCACGTTAAAGCTGCTGAAAAAGTCGCTCCTCAATTCAAAGGACAGGTAGGTTCATTTTATTTACCTTTTGTCTGTAATTATATCGAAGCTCATCGTTGATCACTGTGCTCTATGCGGTGCTTTTGTTTTGCTGCCTCAAAAAGCTTGAGTTTACTTTGTCAAATACGTTCATACGAGTAATATTTTATCATTATATGTGTGTCCATAGCTGCAAATTTTGAGTTAAAAATGGATCCACTTTGGTTTCTTCTGTTGTCAGGAGATTCGGATCAATGATTGTCAATGCTGAGCCCCAGTGTCTTATTTCCTAAGTAGATGGCTAGAAAATTTTGGTTGTATTCATTTTAATGTTTCCAAATTATTGATGAGAAAACACTACAATAGTGAGCGCACAATTTAAACCTACTCTGCTTTCCATTTACTTCTGTAATTAGTTTCTGTCAAAAACATTCAGTAAAACTTTGAAATAAACTAAAAAGTTAGATTTTTAACATTTTGTACACCGATCATTCCATGTGTAATCAACCAAAATCATCACAACTGTTGACATTTTTTCTAATTTTTTTATCGTTTATTGTTTTTTTTCTGCATTCAGGTTCTGTTCGTTTCAATCAATGCTGATGATGAAGACCATCAAAGAATCCTTGAGTTCTTCGGTATGAAGCCTGACGAAGTTCCAACCATGAGAGTTATCAAATTAGAAGACGACATGTCCAAATACAAACCCGCTAAGCCAGATCTCACCGAGGAAAACATCCGATTCTTCGTTTCTGAATTCGTAGCTGGAAATCTGAAAGTAAGCTCTAATTTAATGTGATATTTTTTGTTTTACAGTTAAATACATTGTACAGTTTCATTTTTTCTCTCAAAATTTTAAATGCTCTTATTTGCCAGTTTGAAATTTTCTCCAGCATCTTTTTGCCCTATGAACATCATACACAAACCCTCATCTTCACAAAATTCAAGTCTATGTTTTTTCACTCCTTTTTAGCCACAGTATTTTATTTGAAAGAAAATGAAATTCTCATCCTCAATTTTTAATTTTTCAATGAGTTTAGAGCACATGTCAGAATCCTGTTGTCTGTCTTCTCGCTGTTCACCAGTTGTTAAACAAATGTGCTCTTCAGTTACATTACAAATATACATATTGATCTCTTTGTTGTTGAGTTGAAAAATGTGGGTGAGAATCAGCTAAAATTTCTTCATGGTTGAGGTGAAAACCTGAGTGAGGAAAAATTTAAGCCACATCGTCAGTATTACGTATATTATGTATGCAATGCTCTTTCTTTTAGTATTCACAAGAATTAATCTATGTTATTGTTATTTTTTCTCCTAGCAACACTTGTTATCGCAAGATCTGCCTGAGGATTGGGACAAGAACCCAGTTAAAGTTCTAGTAGCCAGTAACTTTGATGAAGTTGCTTTTGATAAGTCAAAGACAGTCCTTGTAGAATTCTATGCTCCATGGTGCGGTCATTGCAAACAGTTAGCTCCAGTTTATGAAAAAGTAAGTGTTACTGTGTATTATAATTTACTGTTAAAATCTTTTTTCAATCTCATAAAATGGCGATTGCTTGATTTTTCACTCCTTCAAGATTAGATATGGGCTTTTAATCAGCAGGGGTGCAGAAATTCTAAGTCGCCCCCTGAAGTCAACTGGCCCTCCCCCATTTTTGATGAAAATTTTTGATCGCTTTTCTCCGGGGGGGGGGGGGGGACTTACCCCAAAAATCAGACTTTTCCACTGCTAAAGCGTTGGAAAAATGTAAATTAAAGAAAAATCTGACAGGATTCCCCCAATTATTCCTTTCCTCATCTGTTTGGGTCCCTTCTTTTATTCTCGTTCTCACGGGGGTTCTGGAATTCCCCCATTTCATGCAACCAGGCTGTTTGCATGATCGGGCAGTTATAGCACCCTGATTATCAGCTTTAATCATTAAAGTAGGAATCGGAACATTTTCATGGTCAAATTAATTGTCGATAAATTATTTCATCTCTGTGAAAGCAACTTTCCATTCCGTCTCTATAAGTGATATTTTTTGCGTGTTTTACCTTTTTCCTTGGGCATATTTGGCTCTCTCAAATGTTGAAATATAAATTTGATAAAATTTATTTTTTTTTTTTCATTTAATAAAATATCATCATTATTTAGACTTAATATGGATTGAGTTTAGCAGGAAGGAATCAACTTTTTTGATGTTTTACAATTTTCATAGATTTATTTTACAAATAAGTTTTATTCCCATTTTACCAATTTACTTCTTTCCATTCTGTTAATTTTAGTCCAGATATTTTATTTTTTATCCTCAAAATACCAATCTTACATTAGTCTTAAAACTCTCCGCAACTTTTCTTTCTATAAAATCTCCTAAGGTGAATCCAGGCTTAGAACTTCGCGATTTGGCCACCACGTCGCGCTGCTCAGAATAGCTGTATATATTTGCCAAAATAATAAAAACCGTAATACTTATTCAAGATTGGGAATCCAGGGGATATAGTAACATACTTGAGGAACACTCAGTTAAAAAATCTTCTCAAAATTCCCAAAAATAAAGTCGTAACTACGGCGGAAAGTAATTCCCATTGCAGCAATGGGAGAGAGAGAGAGACAGGACATAAGGGATTCGGTTGCGTGCTCGGCCGCTGCCGCTGAGCTGCAAGTTTCAGCTGTACTTTCTCTGCGCTTGTAATTCTAATGGCTAATATTTTTGGCTGAAAAAATCAAGCAAAGAATAATCTACATCTTGTGGATCTGCTTTTTGTGATTTGAACAATATAATTTCAGTAATCGTCGAGGGAAAGTGATATTCTCAGCGGTTACTGGTGGCGCTATCTCTGATCGTGAATTATCCCTAATCGAACCCTGGATTCACCTTAATCAATCAATTTCGAAAGCTCTATTTTCCAACTTTTGTGGATAGCTACACAGATATTACACCCTATTTTGCTAATATTAGTCAGTATTTTCATTCTTGTGCTGGGTAATATATTAAATGTTTTTATTGCTTCGCAGTTGGCTGAAAGCTTCAAAGACAAGGAAGACATCGTCATTGCTAAGATTGACTCAACTCTCAACGAGCTGGAGCATACCAAGATCAGTAGTTTCCCAACTCTCAAATTGTACATGGCGGGCGACAACAAGGTAACTAATTGCATTATTCAAATTTTTTTTTTTTTTTTGAAAAATGAAAGAAAGGGTCTTCAAATACTTTCAAGCAAACATACTGTAAATCAGTCAACTTGGTTTCCCAGCAGGTTTACTCACTTTAAATTGGTCCACAAACTTCTAATGAACAGAATATTTTTTATTAAAAGAAGGAGAGTAAGATTGACTGCTGAGTTACGTGTTGTGTCCTTTTTCGTAAGTCTTACAGTCGTACAAGCAAACGATATTATCGGGAAGAATTTGCTTGCTGGCTCGGATGTTTTATCCTGATTTAAGTCACTCTAACATCATGCAAAGCAGTAACTTACTTGATAGCCCTTTATACTAAATTTTTGTCGCCAGGATTGTAAAAAATTCATAACTTTCTGGTTTTTCAAAACAGCCTTCCCATTTTAAGAGCCTCTTACGTCTTCTAATTTTTCAAAATTATGACTTTTTCTCCTTTATTATTTTCTCTTTTTATTTACGAGTTGCTGCGGTTTTGCGATTTTCATGCCAACATGGCCGGGCCTTCCTATTTTCAAGACTCTTTTCATAGCATCTCCACAGGAATGCATTTCAGCATTTTCATGTTTAAAACCTGTTTTCTAGAACCTTTCGATTTTTGCACTCAACCTGTTGCTTGGTCAAAAAGTTCCTGTACCCTTGATTGTTGTGGAATTCAAGCAACAATTTTTTTTTTTTTTTTTTCAAATCCACTCCTGTCTGCGGACCTGGCAGCTTTCAGCAATCAAGTTTGTTGGAATTAAAGCCTCACAAAGTATCTCAAGTATCAAAGTAAATGGAACTGTGTCTTACTCTCAAGCCCTAACTTGAGATGAATTAAATAGATATTTCATACCTACAAAAAAGAAAATCCTGAAACACTGTGCTCTATTAAAAACTACACTCACACATCCGTATATCCTCCAAATCAGCGGTTTTCAAGCAACGATAAAAAACCCCCTTCAAGTGTTCGCAATTAAGTTTCCAAGACATTTAATCGTCTCATTTATCTTTCCTTAGATCATCGAATACAATGGTGAAAGAACTCTGGAGGGTCTCACGAAGTTCCTAGATACCAAGGGAGAATATGGCCAAGCTGCTCCTGACGCTGATGTAAGTTTGAAATTATTGAAACTGATTTTTATGCTCATTGATCACTGTTACTGTATCTGGATTTGTATTTTTCTGATGAGTTATGGCAAAATGCAGAGTTGCCCCAGTCAGGGAATACCGGGAAATGTCAGGGAATTTTAAAAAGTCAGGGAAAACCTGGAAATGTCAGGGATAATGACAAAAATGTTAGGGATAAATTGTCAGGTCACCTGTACTTCCTTTCTAAAATGAGTTTGACGTTTCAAACAACAAATTGTGCCTGAAAACTGCTTCAAATCATGTCTTTTTAAACATCTAGCATATCCTCAATTGTCAGGGAATTCCACCAAAATGTGATAGAGAAATCTAGGAAATGTCAGGGAATTTCATTTTCTAAATTCTTTGACAACCCTCCAGAAGTGTGTTTTTTTAAAAGCTGATTTGCTGAGGATACCTTTTTGAAAGAACTCAGTCACTCATTAACATGGATATCACTGTCAAAAACAACACTTTTCTGTTGGGGCCCAGGATTAAAGTTTCAATCCCCCTGAATGAAAATCTGCCGTATAATTTTTTCTCGAGTCCATGAAAACTTTAACATTAAGCCAAAAACAGGAAAAAATACTGTCCTGTAAGTTCTGAAGGTATTGTTGATTTTACATATATCTTTTTCTATGCTATAAAATAATCACTATTTACAGGCATAGGGAAGCCATGGCAGATGTTTCTTTTAGGTAGATGCGTCCAATTTTTTCAACCATAGGTTCTTCAATTCAGCCTCTGAACATGTGCATTTTATTGATGGGCACACTGCCTCAACATTTCCAAGCCAATCTTGTAGGAATTTGATTGGAAGAAAACAGGCTTTTCCAAGCGTTTAGGTATTGCAACTCCAAAAGTTGATTGATTTTCATGCATGTTTGTGATTTTTTCTCATGCGTCTTGTGTTTTTATTTTTTCAGACCGAGGAAGAAGATGAAGATGATGATCTGCCGAAGAAGGATGAATTGTAAAAAGTCGAGTTGTGATACGTTTCTGTTTTAATTTCATGAGATATTATTGTTTTCTGTGGGATCTATTTTTGTTAAATCTTCAGATAATTTACTTTTTCATCTTTGAAACAATCCTACTGTAAATATTTTTAGTAAGTCTGAAGTACCCCCTGAACGAACTTTTCTAATCTAATTTCCTCATCCAAATCGATCGACCTTAATTCTTCTGTGAAAGTATTTTTATGGTTAATAACAAGGTAGATTTCTGTAAGGCAACAAGAATATTGAGTAATTTTAATCTCTTTTTTGATGTGGTCTAAAGAGAAATTGTAAATCAGGTTAGTCATTCAGTCACGCTCTAGTCCTAGATTAGTACACGGTGTCAATTTGCTGTTTAATTTGGATCTCCTCATGCATTTGCTGTTAAATGACCAGTCTATTGTCCGTTCTCGCAATGTTAATTGGCTCCTCATGTATTAATTATTTTTTTGAGTACCTGGAAGGGACTAATTTTAAAATGTTGAAAACATCATGATGAAGTTTTATTGTGCGTATTTTATTGCCTGGTACATTTCACAAACTTTCCTTATGAGAATTAAATCGAGAGAAGCTTAAAAAAGTAGGAAAAGCTGTGTATCATGTTTAGTTAAATTATTAGCTGTAAGTAACATTTGATAAAAGACATTGAAAGAGCCATTAGTTTCTCTGTTTGAAGACCACACATAATGAATCTACTGTTCTGTCATTTCTTTATTGTCAGATGGAGCATGAAATAACCTAAATTTTAGTTTTTTGAGCAGTCGACAGTATCTTAACCCTTTGCACCATGACTTACATTATTTAGAAAGCTGTTTTGTCGCCAACCTTTTCAACATAGTATAAGGTATATTGTATTGTTCATTTTCAACACTGTTTCCCTTTAAATCTGCGAACACTAAAATAGTGTTAAGAGCATTAATTTTTGTGTTCATGCTTTAAGTGTGAAAGTACTTTTTTTGCAGTCTGGATTGTTTCCTTGTTTTATAAATTTTGTTTTAATCAAAATTTGTGCTGAAAAGAGAAATCTTCTGTGAAAAACTCTAAGGGCCAAATTTATTTAATAACCCCCTAAAACTTTTTGTTTAGACGTCTTCTTGAAATTAAAGATATAACCCTGTTGGAAGAGTAATTTTTCCGTCAGTTACATTATTCCGATTGGTCAGAAACAAAAAAATTGCAATACTGATGTTTAAAATAACGTTGGAATGTTTAAGTTATGGTGCTCTTGGAGAGAATCAGTCGGTGCTTAGTATGTAGTTCCCTAATTCTGATTTCAGTGTATAGTTTAGTTCTTTTATGTGAAATGTACCATGATGGCATCAACATCGGAAATATTTATGATTTACTCTTCAAATCACATCACTTTACTTTAGTTTCGTTTAATATTAAGTTTTTGCTTTGCATTTTCAATTTTCAATTTTAACAATTCATTCCTGAAATTATGCTGATTTTTATGCCCCCTCCTTTATCATGTAGGATTATCAAATCTTTGACTCTGAAATCGGACCTTTTGGTTTTTAGTTTTATGAAAGAATCAGTCATCATCTTCCAACTGTGCCAGTATTTATCATTGGTTTAGTAATGGTTGTCACTTCTAAATTTTTACTGATTTGAAAAGGGTTAAATGAAGGTGCTTCATTCAAGTTCTGAAATTATCATAGTATATACAACTCTCTACAACTAGAATGATACTGAACCAGATTCAGGGGAATTTCACCATGTTTTCCAGTAGTTTTTGATCAATTTTTATTATTTATTAACAATTCAAAGAGGTTCTAATTACAAGTTTCCAAAGTTATTTATATTTACGCATTTGTAGATCAATGAATTCACAGGTAACAAACAATAACAAAAAGGCTCTCTCCTAATATTTGCTGGTTAACCGTAGCTCTATGAATTCAACTTCAATATACTGGAGAGAATGTTGTAGAGATGAAAAGATTTTTGCAAAGCAGTGAATTGCATTAGTACTTACATTCTTCATTCTTGCCCTGCCGCAATGTGCTAGGAATTGTGTTTGCTCTTTACTTTGTCACATGATTTTTGTAGTTTTGATGCCATCTTTGGTCAAGTAAGAGGAATCTCAAAATCTATTAGTGTGTTGATAATCAGATCATCAGCTCTTAAAGAGTTCAGTCTCAATAATGGATATAATTCTTTTTCATGATGAGGTTTATTTTAGTGGAAGTGCCTAAAGCATTTTTATTCGTATGTAAGTAAGAATGCCGTGATCTTGATGAATGTTAAGATATCTAGAACACTTTACCTTTCTTTATAATCAATGGAGCACTGAAATGTGTCTGACGCTTGTGATGACATAATATTAATGGTAATAATGATAATATTTAATGTTGTGCTGTGGCTCTAAATTTTTTTGAACATCCATCTAAACTTTTTGAATAAGAATCCTTCTTATCGCAACGCAAATACTGGATCAGTTTTTTCCCATGTCTATTTCTTTCCTTTTTCTTTACAATACTTTTTGTTGCAGCATCAGACTTCCATTAAACTAACTTCTCTGTGGTACAACTTTCTAAAGTGAATTTCCTCTTTTCCCTGTTTCATTTTTAAGGACTCTATAAATTTAGTGCCAATTCTCTCAGGCTCCTCTGATTTGTTTAATTTTATGTACTTTTCCTAACTAGAAAAAAAATACTGCTAGTTTATTGTCATTGAATTGAATCTGTGTGATGCAGTCTGTGCATATTGACTGAGTGTGGAATCTAACTTCTCTCGTTTTTTAATTTGTGCTTAATTGTCTCGTAATGTTGTATTTCATTTCATCGTGCATCTGTCTAATACAGAATATCATCAAATGTGACCTTCAATTGAAAGTTATTTATTTGTTTAGACATATAATGACGTTTTTTCGTGAGCAAGGATACTCATCTCTCACAGAGACTTTAATTTTTGTAGCAGATGTAATGTATTGTTTTCCTCTTTACCATCACTAATTCTTTTAGTCTTCTTCATTACTTGAAATTGCACAATAATTTATGTGAGTCAGTGTATGCCCAATTATCCTTATATTAAATCCTCCTCATTTGCTGGACAATACACAAGACCAGTTTGTTTCACTTGAGAGTATATTATTCTCCTCTGAATACTTGTAATGAATATTTTCATTCACTCTGGAAGTCCAAACGAAATTAAATGTGGGTTTTATTGAGAAACATTACGAAGGGATGCAGGAAATTGTGAAATCAGATTTGAAAATCAGTAAGAATTTGTGAAATCCCAATGAAAAAATTTTCTTGTCTATTTTCCTTCCCTGTAAAAAGTAGTCTTATTTTAATAAGGTATGGAGCTAATTCTATTTATTTAGTTCGATTATTTATTTTTTTTAATACTTTTTTAAGGAAATCACAATGTAATTAGTGTACAGTCGATGCTAGATTTATTGTTTTCTAATAAACTACTCCACCCACACATGCCTCTGGTGACTCAATTTTTAACCCATCAATAAGATTCTTCTTTCTCTTTTTTTTTTTTTTTTTTTTTTTTGTATTTTATGCCATCTCAAGGCTCAGTTCCACAGTACAACAACTGAGCAAGCCTTGTCTCATAAGTGTTTATCTGATCAGCGGCATTAATGAAACTAATTGTAAGTCAGCATGACAAGACAAGACATGGGCCTTTCTTTACCATGCAGTATATTGCATTTTACTGTTTTGTCAGGCTGCTATAAACTTTCAATAATTGGTCCGCAGGAATATTTTGTGAAATTTACTCAAAATTTCATGAAAACTATCAAACTTAGATAACATTTAGGAAGAATTTTCTTTGCAATTACTAAGGATAAACGGTAGAAAGAGTTTTGAGGGCAGTTTATGTTACAGTGCGCACTGAGTAGACAAAATGTAAGACTCAATTCTTGCACGTTCAGGATAAACATGAGCAATGACAAAGAGAAGTTCAGCTGAAGGTCTTTTTTTTTGAATTTTTTATTGTTTTTAAGACTGATTTACACATTGATAGTTTGGAAAATGTTGAACCCTGAATTGGCAGTGCTGATCAATGTGCCAGGTATTTGAGGGTGCCAGTGAAGCTCTTTGATGTCATTCTGACCTTGATGAATGAACATTAACTGGGGAGGTATATCCTGTGATATAACAGAAAGAACAGTTAGAACAGTGTCATGACTTCAATATTTGATCGAAAAAACTAACACAGCTGAATTATTGAGAAACGGTCTGCGAGAGTTTAGACTCCTGACTTTGAAAATTCTGAAGAACTCAAGTATCATTCTTTTCAAACTATAATTTCATGTACTTTTCATCAATAAAATTGTCAATTCACTTTTGATACTCAGCGAGTATTTATTTCAAAAAGATTTGGGGGGCTGAAAGGACAAGGCACATGAGTGCAGTTTTTGCTATTTTGGGAAATACGTGTTTGATTTTCAGTTGGAAATTTCATGGATCCTTATGGCAGAAAGAATGTTGAAGCTGACTTTTTGATGCTTAAAAATTGGAATTTGGGGGTGAATTTTTCACAGAATAAGCATTAAGCCTATATTTACTTGAAATCAATAAAATCTCATTTTTTCAAAAACTGCACTTATGCGCCTTGTCCTCCAAGCCCCTCATTTGTGGAAAAATAGATTTAGAGGAGCAAGTGTAGCAAAAATTTGAAAATGTCTCAGTCTACCTCCTGAAATAAGATTCATATTTTTTGGTCCTCAAAAAGAGAGAAATCTCTGACCTTTTCATTACCTAACAAAGAATGAGAATGCATCTCAAGGAGGGGACGGACGCCTTGAGATGCTTCAGCATTTTTTCTTCAATTTAATGTGAGTTTTGAGGCTTTCATTTCGATTTTATACAATTTATTTTGTTTTTCATCTCAAAAACTTTCACTTAACTTTTTCCTACTGCCATCATGAAATGACACAAACCACTCAAGGTACACTCTACTACAGGTATGGACAAATGGAATTTTAGAAAGTCGTCAAAACGCGTAGATTTGGCAGCGTCCAATGGTACGACTGCGACGCCATATTGAAAACTTATTTACTTTCTGTTTTAAGAGTGGTTCTCGTCAATTTCGTGTTATTTTTTCGTGTTCTTAGTTGAGGTTTTCGTTATTTTGAGTTCCATCAATTTTTTTAATTCATCTGATGGCTTATCGAAGCTAACGGATCTACCAGAACCTCATTTTGAACTGCGCGGCAAAGACAGTACGACTTACGACGTCACTCGATGGCCTATAATCTCAGCGCTGCCACTTCGGCACCCCGTTTGTCCATACCTGTAGTAGAGTGTACCTTGCAAACCACTAGGCCTTAGTGGTATGGGCACATGTCTTAGACACATACTCCGCATCTCTATTTTTCCGAGATATCAATGTGAATTTCACACTTTGAAATAAATCCTGTTTTGCAGTGCCGAATGGAACTAGCGTCATTCTGAGACAATAAATTAGAACCGAGAAAACTGAAGAGAAAAAAAAACTGTGCAATAGTCTTACTTTCAGGTCATCAAGTTCTGCTTGCTCTGCATCTTGCTCCACTGATAAATCCCAAATAGTGAGTTGATCATCAGCACCACCCACAGCAAACACACTTTCCTCAGTTGGATGCCATTCAACTGTTGTTATTGGCTGCTTATGATGTTTAAATGTTGCTATTGCTCCACCAGTCTAGGGGATACAAAAAAATAGAATAAAACCAACTTTTAAAGATATTTACAAGCAAAAGTATGAAAAATGCATAAATTTACTTCCGGCTTTATTGTGTATCACTAGCTGCGTTACCTCTGACCCTTGAACCTTCAAATGATGCATTAAAAGCCTTCGGAGATCTTACTCGCCATGATTATTTCTTCGATTCTGCTTAGTGACCAGTATAATGTAAATGATGAGTGCCAGAAAGTTTCTACAGCCTGACTGTTGAAAGTTGAAACTTTAACTGGCTGTGTCCGCAAGATACGACAAGACATAGTCCTATCTGTGCCGTGTAATAAATCCATTTTCGATTTTTGTTGTGCCGACATAAATCAAAAATCGGACTGCTGCAGGACTGACAATTTAACCTTAGGAGTAATAATTCCATTATTTACTGTCAAAAGTCTTGCCTATAAAAAAGGGCAATGAATAAAGCAGGACCAATGTTTACATACAGAGGATGTTGTTCAAATTTAGGAATCTTCTATTCGTTTCGTGAGAAACTAAAGAAAACACCCTCACATCATTGCAGTTGTCGACAAGTAGAGAGACGTTGCGTGAATCTTAAGTAAAAAGTAGGCAAATGAGTAGGTTTTTCCTGACAGAAATTCTTCTGGCTTTTATCCAGGTAGGGGAAATGATGAAAAGAGCCCTATGTTTGACTCATGCTTTTTAATATATAACCTTCATGAGGTTTTCGAATTTAATATACTGTATTTAAGATGTACATCATACATCATCAGCAGGAGATTCGACAATATTTACCTTCTTGGAACATCAAATCTTGTTCGAAGTTGCTCTTTTCTTGCTTCGTTTTAAATTTAAAAATTGTAAAAAATTACGGCGCTTAGAACACCTGAGTTCTCCTTATTTTCAGTTTCCCTTACTTTGATCTGCACATGATGTTTGTTTCCATTTGTGCTCAAAAGCAATATGTGTTTTTGTGATTTAAGTAAGCAATGAGGCTGATTAGATCTGTAAGATTCAATATTTTTTTAGCAATCCAAAAACCAGTATTATGTACATGTATTAGTTTGTCACTTCCACCAACATCCTCCTGCTTTATACGAGGTCTGTTCAATAAGAAACCGGATTTTGGTGATAACTAGCCCACAACGCGCTCGAATTAGGTTTTCTTGGACTTTCATAGGATTTTTATGTCTAACCAAACTTGTCTCTCTTTTTTTGGTCTTGCACTGCCTTTTTCAACCCGCAAGGATGATTAGAGTTTTGTCTCCATATCGTAGCCGTACACTCAAGTTTTGTCACAGAAAATTATCCTATCCAAAAATGTAGGGTCATTGTTAGAACGTTCAAGAAGCAAAAGGGAAATTGACATTCGGTTAAATTTTACCTGCAACTCGATGCATGTCTAAACATTCTATCAAAATTGTACGAACAGAGTCTTCAGAAATATCACACTGTTCAGCAAGCTCGAAACAACCATTTTCGAGCACTTTTGCCCACACTTCTTCCATGTGGCTTTCAGTTGCCATTGATACTTGATTCCCGTGCTCCTCATCTTCGACGAACTCCTCACCAGTTTTGAATCGTTTAAACCACTCAAAACAGTGAGAACGACTCATAAAATGATCTTGGTAAACTTTCCTTAGCAATACCAAAAATGTTGGTATAAGGTATACCGAGTTGAAAACAAAATTTTATGTTAAATCTCTGCTCTATCAGTGATTGTATGATGAAAATCGCAGAACGCACCTGACTTGCTCGTGTTCCAGAAGACACAGAATGAACATTGATCAAAATAAAAAAAATCTGTGAATCTTGCATTCTTTGGTATGTTATCAGCTATCAGGAAAGTCCAAGAAAACCTAATTCAGACGCATGGTGGGCTAGTTATCACCAAAATCCGGTTTCTTATTGAACAGACCTCGTATCTATTATTTTCCTCAGTATTTTAAAATAAAAATATTCTTTGATTACCTTTAGATTCCTAAGATCCCACACATGAACAAATCCATCATCTCCACCAGATACAATAAAAGGCTCTTTGCGATTCCAACTAATTACATTAATATCACTAGTGTGAGCATTTTCCACAGTTATGACATTTGCTTTGGCTCCGTACTTCCTTGTATCCCAAATCCGTATGCTTTTGTCCACGGAGCAGGATGCAAGAACTTCTTTTTCAGTTGGAGACCACTGCAAATCCTCAACCGATTCTCTGTGAGCATTCAATGGTCTTTGATCTACATGCCATGATGCTTCTCTAGGCTTCCACACATGAATGTTCCTGTGACAGTCACCGGTGGCTAGTTGACCTAATTAAATGAAAAATGCAGTAAGTTTCAGAGTTGAAAATCAAAACGATACCATAAAGATTATACTGAACAATGGATATAATGATTGAATTAAAATAAAATATTTATTCTTCCTCCTTTTTTAAGGTGTTCAAACAAATTCCAGCCGCGGTAAGCTATTAGTACTGTCTTGTGTCAATACAACTAAGCGATCCCATGATGGCAATGCTATTGGAAACAACCATGCCCCATGAGTCAGTTTATATAATTGCTTCAGGTATAAAATAAATATATACATGGCGACAGTTTCTTTTCCCTAGCTGTGAAAACTTGGGTGAACAATGGAGGCGAAAATTTAAGATAGGTGAGTTTGATCCTAAAAAAATCGACTGAGCCTCATGGTTTATAAAAATTTACATTTAACAAATAAGGAGTAGTAAGAATTGGGTTTTTGGGCTAAATTTTGCTGTAACGTTTACTGATGTTGTCTGGAATTCTGAATAATGTTCATTCCCAGATTTTCTCCTACTTTTCCTGATTTTCAGGAGCTAATTTCCTGATGCAAAATGTAAGATTTCTCTCACTTCCTGGATTTGCTTGTAAAAAACTAAATTATTCTCTCGAGTTCCAGACATGAATATCGATTTTTTTCTTCTCGTAGCTGACTCTTTGGCGCACATTCCAATTTTTAAATCCAAAAGCGCTCTTGATGTTTACACCAGCTGGTTAATGAGAACTTCTCTATTCATTTGATGATTTGAAAATTCAAATATGTCACTCAAGAAGTAAATAATGGCCGTTAGGGTGCAATAATATACACTATAAGCGGTAAAAGAAGAGATTCCCGATATCTGTGACCCTGATTTGCCTTAAACTCCCTCATTCCCAGATTAATCCCAGTTCTTCTTAGTTTCCCCAGGTCCAAGGGACCATGCTTTTACTGTAAGTTAAAGTCTATCAAGAATTAAATTTAACTGTAAAAAGAGTACCTTATACCCCTTTTATTCATGGGAGGGCTTCATTTGATCGATACAAAGTTGGACTAAAACATGAACAACGCATAGCTTACCTGGTGTTTGGGGACTCCAGTCCATGGCAAACCCTTCACTTTGATGACCATTGAAAGAGAAAAATGCATTTAAATCCTTTTTGGTGCCATCTTTCAAGGCAGTCGGTTTTTCGACAGCATTTATTAATTTATGTAGATTGTAGATTTCAACCATACCTCTTTCAGACCAAACTGCAGCATAATTCTTATCACCATTTGAAAAACTCTGAAATTAAAGCCGACAGATGAAAACAGAAGAAGAAATTTTCAGATACATAAAAAATTTGGTCATTCACACGGAAATTATTTTCTTCCTTCGTTTCCTTTACATTACATTTTACTTAAAATGTTCACCATTTCATTGTTCGTAATTCATTACAAAAAGATCATGAGTAACTTCTTGACTTAAGGAACTACATATGGAGCCTGTTTCAGATGACTTTTCCTCTTTTGCTGTATGTGCGGGATAGGAAATCACACACAACAAAAGTAGAAAAGTAATATGAAGAGGGCTCTGATTAGAGAATACCTACCTGGTTACAATCAGAATCATTTCACGTCAACCTAACCAGGTCCTGGACGTCACCATCCGTGATTACTTCAAATTTGGGGAGCAGGATTGATTCGTCATTTTTAGGAAATCATTGGAAAGCGTTTTTCCCTCTGACAGTCTGTTTACTAGATATCGTTCTGTAAAGATGACATACATTTTTGCGATTCTCTAAAAATCTCATTTTAGCAATTTCTATTTTTCTGCCTTGGGTCATAATGGTCATTAACCTTCTTCCCAAGTTCTTTAAAAGTGCTTTTTCATCAATTCCCACTCTTCTCATTTTCTTAACAAAGTATGTTTGCTTTGGTTTAAGTTGGTGTCTTGCCCGCAACTTACCCTTATTCTATTGATGCAACCAATGTGAGCAACATAGGAGAAGTCCATTTTTCCATCTTTTGAGCCATCCTCTTCTTCATCTTCACTCTCGCTACTGCTACTTTCATCGTCATCGACCGGTTTATCATGTTGAGTTTTGTGTAAATTTGAAAGCTAAGAAGAATTAAAGAAAAATGTTTAGTAACGTATCAAGGTTAGAGAGTAAAAATTGGCTTCATCTAACCAAAAAAAATTTTAATTGCTCTTGGCTATCCACATCTGCAGCCTGATTGTTGAAATTTTTAGTTTGTCGGGGCGACATAGATGACATACGTTAAAAGGCGAAGCGTGATTGGTCGGCTATGTCTTATCGCTGCTTTATCTTGCTTTTGTCAGGGGGAATGATCGACATACTGTCGGGAACTTAAGAGGTGCCGTTAGCTTGTCGAGAGGTCAACCCGACATAGGCACGACAAAGCAGCGATAAGACATAACCGACCAATCACGCTTCGCCTTTTAACGTATGTCATCTATGTCGACCCGACAAACAAACAATTTCAACAATCAGGCTGCTGGCTGCTGCCAGGTTGATCAGAATTTCTACCTAAATGTGACTAGGGTAAAACATTTTGCCCTGGATCTTTAAAGTTTTATTGTTTTGCTGACAAATAGGTGGTGGATTGGATTGTGCATTGAAAAAATCCTTCTGACAGCATCAAGCATGTGCCGAGAATCACCATTCTATCTTTGTAACCAACTTGGACTAAGTAAGTGGAAGGTGCATTCAGCTGGTTAAATTGTTAAAATGAGGATGAGACTTGTTAAAAATAAAACATGCTTTTTTTTATATAAAATTTGACAATTTATTTTAATACTCAGTAGGTAAAAGAAGAATTATGAAAGGATATTGATGCAGTCGATTTTGATATGACATAAATATACACCCATGTTCCCATTAAAGTAAAAATACAAAAGTGAATCGGGTAACATACCTTGATGACAAAAATTTTATTTTTCTTGGCTTGGTCTGCTTGTGTCCCTGCTACAACGTAAGCAGTTCTAGGGAATGCGTCTCGATTTTCACCTAATTTATCCCTCAGGATATCAAAACTCAGACAAGGTGAACCTGGAAAGTAAGCGAAGTTTCACTAAAGTTGTTTTAATTGCTTTCCTCAACATAGAGCAAGGAAATATGATGACTGAAGAGCGAAACCTAGTATCTCCATAGCGGTGTCTCAAACGCTCTCCTCCTATATTCTGGTTTTTCAAAGAGCAGAGTCAACTACACTTACAACACGAAAATCTCCACAGAATATTCAGCTAATTAAGAAGGAGAATGAAGGTAGGTACCTAGTTTTCAAGAAATTAAGCTGACTGGTTTTCCAGAGAAAAAGTAAAGTATGACAGGAACTCCGGAATGTCACAGAGATACGTATTTTTGCACTTTTGTCATTGATGGTAATTAAGGAGCTGAGGAGTTTCAGAGCTACATTTCGATACTGATGACTACCCAACTACACTAACTCCTTGTTTATTCCATTAAAAGGGACAAATTTTCTGTTCCAATGTAGACCTCATTGATCAGAATCTTTGATACAACCACACATTTCTTCCCTGAAAATTAGAACGTCAGGTACGCTACTTCAAAACCAAGATACAGATTAGCGCCGACTGCAAGGCAAATAGCAAATACTGACAAATCTGTTTGCCCATAAGCAAAGGAGATACCATTCAAAAATTTTAAACATTTTTGGGTTCAATTAACATTGTACCATGAACTTACTGGTTTCAAAAGTGTGCAACATCTTGTAAGCAGACGGATCACACACAAGTTCCTCTCCTTCTTCCAGTGGTTGCGTAGGCAAATAAACTTTCCTCGTTGTTTCTGTTTTCTTTTCGGAGCTACAGGGCTCCATTTCAACGTCATTTTCTTCTGTCATGATTACTTTCGTTCTTAAACAAGTTTAAAAACACCAAATTAATTAATAAATTTCAGAAAAACACACCAAAGTTAGACATAACCTAAAACGCACATGGCATGATGAGCACCGACTAAAAACAGTCACCACCGTCGATGCAGAAAATCCGCGTAGTTTAAAAATGCGGGCTAGTGTGAATCGCCGATTATCGCCTTCGCCTAAGTTCCCAAGTATCGTGTCTCGCGTAAACTCTTCAGTTTATTTGAACATGCGTGGGTCTTCGCAGCTTGAATCGAAATTTTGCTCGCGGCAAGTGCAAGAGTCTGTCACTTTTTTGGAACTTATTGTATCGTGGCCTCGTGGAATCCGATCTCTGACTTTTGGTGCCCTGATTTTGAAAGTGTACTTGATATTCTATAGATTTTCGTCGTATATTTGAAAGTGTGAATTGCCGATTCACCAGTGCGGTTTTCGGATGCGCGTGAACAATTTTGTGCGAATCGTTCGATGAACTCTTGTCGCGGTGTTTGACATTTTTGTGCGTGTCTGTATGCTTTCCTAAATCCTCAATTATCAAGTGTGTTCACGTGGTTCGTGGCTCCTGTTCAATTTTCTAAGGTTCAAGTGTTTTCTTAAAACCTATGGGAAAGAATCGATAGACAGGGCATTTGCAGCGAACACCGTAATAATCGATTCTTTACCATAGCTTCAAATGGAGAAATATCGATAATCGATTATTCACGCCTCGCCACTGGGAAATATAGCTGGAAAAATCTTGCTTCTCGTGATAAATTGCCACAAAATGTATGTGATCATCACGCAATCTCTCATTCTTTTTTACCAATCCCCTGAAAAAATCGCGCCCGATATCGGGCGATTTTCTTTAAGTTTTATACTTTTTATGAAAACGCTCCGAAAACTGCGCACTATCTAAGGGTATGAATCGCGCGTAACTCCTTTTGATTTAAGGTATCCGCAGGATATACCGCACATACCTCGCAATATTTACATGAAACTCACGTTTTCACACGTGGAAACTAAGCGAGCAAATATTCGATTTTCTGAGTAGGTATGTGGTGCATACTACGCCAAATTGGATGAAAATCCTAGCATTTAAGCTTATCTCAAGTTTCTAAAGTTTATGAATTTTATGCTCTCATCGATACAAAATGCACGTATTTTCAGCCATGTTGCGGTGCAATTACTGTTTCTTTTGCACTCTTATTCATCGGCTGAACAATTTGAGAAAATGCCGTGATATCGAGGTGAAGAACGTGTTATTTTTAATGATCTTACAAAACCGTTGGAGTAATGGCGTATTTGCCGCAATATTGTGGTTTTTATCCCGTCATTTCTCAATTTTTTCTTACAGAACCGTTGGCATAATCACGTATTTACCGCGATATTGTGGTGATTATCGCGCATTCCTAACGTTTTATGAAAAATTCGCTTCTGAAATTGAGCATCTTTCTTTGATTCCGAGAGTAAATGAGCGTAATTCGGATTGCTTTAAGGAATCTGCTGAAAATAAGGCACGCGAAAGTGAGATCAAAGTCGCTTGATTTCTGACCTAGCATATAGAGATACTGAGCTAACATCGTGCATTCTTCGCGATTTTGAAATGAAACTCGGGTAATTCAGCGCTTTTCAGGCGCGGAAACCAATCGAGCAACTATTCGAACGCCGAAGTAGGTATGTGGTATCGCGCGAAATTGAAGGAGAATCATAGCTTCGCGCCTATCTCAAGTCACTGACAATAATGAATTTGATGCTCTCGTCGATATTAAAAATCGCACTATTTCCGCGATGCCGAGATGAAGAGCGCATGACTCTTTTTAAATCATGGAATCCGTTGAAAATATCCTGCAATATTTGCGATTTTGAGATGAAACTCGGGTAATTCAGCGCTTTTCAGGCGCGGAAATCAACGCTATCATACTTTATTTTGTAATTGGAAAACTAGTCAACTTAAATTCTCAAACACTTCCTCGATTAGCAAAAGATTCTGGAGACATTTTAAGCTGTACAGTTGACTTGTTTCACTTCGAAAAAATAATATAGGAATAGAGATTTTGAAACACCGCAATGGACATACCAGGTTCCGCGCTTTGACCATCGATAGGTATGTACGAAATTAACCGGAATTAGCCTAATTGAATTTCAGACTGCCTAATTTCCTCTCATAATTCAAACTGTTAACAGAAAACTGAACTGCATAATTCCTTTAAATTGTTCGTAAATTTCTCCTATTTTATGAAAAATTTTCCCACAAAATTTCAATTCATACATTGGACATTCATACACAATTCAGTGGACTCTCGATAGTTCGAACCTCGATAATTCGGAAACCTCGTTAATTCGAAGGAAAGTCCGTTTCCCTAGGAAATCTCTCGATAATTCGAAGAAAATCAATGTATTTTTCTCCCCTCGTTATTTCGAAATTTTTAAGCTGGCTCGACCCTCTATAATTCGAAATTGCGACGAAAATTCTTTCTGTAATTCGAAGTGTGGGAAGTAAATATGGTCCGCCTTCTATAATTCGAAATAAGGCGGTACATTCCCCCTACAATTCGAAGTCAACTGTTTATGTACCTGGGTGTCTGAAAGAGCCGATAGGATTGTCAAAATGTAAACATGTAATTAATAATTTTAAAATTAAATATAAATAATTAATACTTAATAATAACTTAGTGTAATTTTCACCTCCGTAAAGAAATAAACTGATATATTTGGTTCCTTTTGAAGTAAATCCGTCCATTTGCTTCTCTACATTCGAACCTCTCTAATTCGAAATCCCTCCGCATGAATCTCTTTAATTCGAACCCTCTTTATTTCGAAACCTCGCTAATTCGAAGAAAAACCGATTCCCTTCAATTTCGAATTATCGAGAGTCCACTGTATAGTGTTGCCTTGTTTTCGTTTTAAAAAATAAAACATCGCAGACAATTTGCAATCATGGAAAAATGGAAATCGAAGGTAAAACTACTAGACCACCCATCTTGTATGCCGCGTTGAAAAATTTTCGACCCTTTTTTATTTTTGTGAAGGAGAACGAACCAACATCATTCCTTGAAGTGTACACAGATTTTTCTTTACTGAGAGAAGAAAAATCACGGAAGTTTTCAAGAATTGACGTTTAGTAGTTTTCCATCTATGAAAATAGGTATGACAGGAAGTCTGCAACCTCGCAAACCGATATTCGTGGTCTGGCACTGGTACTTTCACCCTCGAAATGTCTTATTCTTAATAATTCTGGTTGATTCCATCCTTAAATCGCCTTCATTCCTACGTGATACCAGAGTACATACTCCATCCACGCTCTTCTTTTCATGAGTATGGATTGATTGTGTCATTTCACTTGTTATTCAATCAGCGTTTTTTAAACACTATTTGAATGAAGGCAAAGATGTAAGAACTACATTTATGGAATTTTCGACGAATTTTAATCATTTTATCGATCGTTAAAATCTCGAAATCTTTTGAATTTCGTCAAATAGAGGCACTGAAAAAGTACTAAATTTTTCTGTTGGGGAGGTATTGAATGTCTTGGGAATGTACAGAAAAAGTACTGTAAAAGTACTGATTTCAGGCCAGCCAATTTAGTAGACACCCTGCCGGCCGCAACATAGCGTGTAACCGTGAATGGTCCTTGTGATACTCTGGCTTTATGATGGCATTGTATCTCTAAGTAGTTTTTTGTTCCAATTTTACGAAAGTGTGCCGAGACCGAGAACAGCGCAAAGTTCTTCTATACTATAAGCTTACAATAATAATTGCGAATATCAATCACAAATAATGCAAACAACGCTCCTTCAAGTCATGCTATTTATTAACGCTGTAGGAATAGCGCATGGTTCAACCATATTCTGAGCGTAACAGTCATACCCAGGCGTCAGATCATGAGCGCCTGCAATTTTCCGTGTATGCAGCACGGACATTCTTTGAACACGAATAGTTGCATCCAAGAGTTGGCATCTTATAGTCGCGAAACGCCCTCAGTTCCTCCGCTTATGACAACTGAATTTGTCACGTGATTGTATATTTGCATATCCTTGTTGCATGAAGACAAAAATATTCTTGTTTCATAAAAGAAAAAAGAAGAAATAAGCAATGAACCAATAAAAATATAGAAATAAAATCGGGGCTAGCTTTTCACGGCCGTCTTACCCATCTGATATTATTCTTTTTTTTTTTTTTTTTTT